AGAGAGAGAGAGAGGGAGAAAAAGAATGAGAGAGAGAGAGAGAGAAAGTCCCCAAAGAAGCTTGGTGAACCCAGCTCTTCCCTTCCAGGCAGAATGTACCAAGATTGCAACATCCTGAGATAAAGAGGAACAACCCAGGCTCTGTCCTCATTTCTCCTAGAACAGATGTCCTGTAACACTTGTGATCAGTAAGTCAAGTCCTGGTCAGAGTATAAAACCCAGAGTGAAGTGGTGGAGTGCTTTCTGAGTCCCTTGGCTGCAGTGTGAAGTGGAGCTCGTGCAGATGAGGCTCCCTCTGTCCTGAGCACCCTTCTTGAGGCTTGGGGACCAGTTCACCTTGGATCCTAGGCTTCTGTTGGGTTTTGCAGCCTATGTGGGGGTAGTAAAGTTGCTTTGCCTGACTTGTGCAAGCGTGCTGTCTCACTGGACTTATGCTCGGGCAGCTGGGTTTGTGCAAAATCTCCTAGCAAATGCAGGAATCTTAGGAGAAATTAATGAGGTGCTTAGAGTCCTCCCTTGGGATTGGTAATCGGTGCATGATGTTTCTCTCTCAGGGACTGACACTGGTGTACAGTATTCTGCCTAACAGAGGAGAGAAAGAACATGAAAGAGTAAATGAAGTAAAATGAACTGGGTTAATCTAAATTAAGGGTATGGATTTTATTTTTGATTTTATTTTTAGAGACAAGGTCTTGCTATGTTTCCTGGGTTGGTTGGCCTTGAACTCCTGGCCTCAAGTGATCCTCTCACCTTAGCCTCCCAAAGTGCTAAGATTATAGGCGTGAGCCACCAGCTCTGCTAACATTGAATGTTCTTGACACCATTTTTAGTTTTTGTAACATTTCTTTCTTTCTTTCCGTTTTGAGACAGAGTCTTGCTCTGTCACCCAGGATGGAGTGCTGGTGCAATCACAACTCACTGAAGCCTTGAGCTCCTGGGCTCAAGCAATCCTCCCACCTCAGCTTCCCAAGTAGCTGGGACTACAGGTACGCACTGCCATGCCTGGTTAAGAAAAAAGAATTTTTTTTTTTTTGTCTTTATGTTGCTCAGCCTGATCTCGAACTCCTGGACTCAAGTGATTCTTCGGCCTTCACCTCCCAAGGTTCTGGGATTGCAGACATGAGCCACTGTGCCTGGCCACAACTTTTCTACAAGTTTGAAATTATTTTTAAACACAAACTTTTAATATTTTAATTATTTTAAAACCTGAGCTGGCATCTCATAAAATAAAAACATTTAAAATGCAAGCAAAAGTTTATTTAGAGATAAATTTCTGGGCATAGTGCTAAGTCTGTGAAAACTTATGGTCTAAATAAAGTTGGCTGCACTAAAAACAATAAGAAAATTAATTTTTAACCTATTGAACTTTACCTAATCGGAAGGGCTTAGTGTAAAATAAGGACCAAAATAAAAACATTTTAGAGGTTATCTGGGGTCAGGCGTGGTGGCTCATGCCTGTAACTCCAGCACTTTCGGAGGCTGTGGAAGGTGGATGACTTGAGGTCAGGATTTTGAGGCTGACTAACATGGTAAAACGCCATCTCTACTAAAAATACAAAAATTAACAGGGCGTGGAGGTGTGCGCCTGTAATCCCAGCTAATTGGGAGGTTAGAGCAGGGGAATCACTGGAACCCAGGAGGCGGAGGTTGCAGTGAGCTGAGATCAGGCCACTGAACTCCAGCCTGGGCAACAGAGCAAGACTCAATAAAAAAAAATAAATAAACAAATACATAAAAATAAAAAAATTAAGGTTATCTGGGCTAGGTGCAGTAGCTCATCCCTGTAATCCCAGCACTTTGGGAAGCCAAGGCAAGCAGATCACCTGAGGTCAGGAGTTTGAGACCAGCCTGACCAATATGGTGAAACTCCATCTCTACTAAAAATACAAATATTAGCTGGGCATGGTGGTGAACGTCTGTAATCCCAGCTACTCCGGCAGCTGAGGCAGAAGGATCACTCAAACCCGGGAGGCAAAGGTTGCAGTGAGCCGATATCACACCACTGCACTCCAGCCTGGGCAACAGAGTGAGACTCCATCTCAAAACATAAAAAATAAAAAATAAATAAAGTTTATCTGGCTTTAGCAATATTTTCAAATTGCGGTGAAATTCATAGAAGATACAATTAGCCACTTAAAGCATACAATTCAATGTTGCACATAACCATGTAGCAATATAAATAGTGCTGCCTTTTAGGATAATTTAACATTTGCATTTTAAAATGTTGCATAAATGCTTGTTTTTACACTTCATTTTTTAAAAATTTTACTTTGTGGCCAGGTGTGGTGGCTCACGCCTGTAATCCAAGCACTTTGGGGGCCAAGGCAGGTGGATCACCTGAGGTCAGGAGTTCAAGACCAGCCTGACCAACATGGTGAAACCTCATCTTTATTCTAAAATAATTAAAATATATATATTTTTTACTTTGTTGGGCTGGGTGGGGGCTTCAAAAAATTTTTGACTTTGTTTAAAGATTTAGATTCTTGTTCTTTCAACGAACACTTCTACATGTATAATTTATTTCTTGGACCCTTTTTATTTTATATAATAATTCTAGTACTATTTTCCCCAAATATATGCTTCTCCAAATAGTCTTCCTCCTTTTGCCTGAATTTGCTGCTATCTGATTGACTTGCATGACCCCTAAATATATGAGCATGTGGAACAATGGTCTAGAACTTGCCTATTGATCCCAAATTTTATTTTTAATCTTCCCTATGTTGTAAGTAGACATTCTTCTACTGATTTTTTTTTTCCAGTTCGTGTAACCAATGATTTGTGCTTTATTGAACCACCTTTAAATCTAGTCCTTGGAATGTTAGAACTATTGCTAGTAAAATTCACTGAGGTTTGGTAGGCTGGTTCACCTAGCCACAGGACTATTTTGTCTTTGATGCCTCTAGGGAAACAGCTTGTTGCATGGCAAGAGTGATGCCATCTTGAAGTGAAACTGCCACAGTGACCTGTGCTTGAACCCCCACATACCAAGGTGCTCCAAAGTAAGGTCTTTAACCACTTCCTGTAGCATAGATAGCTCCTCATGTCACTCGTTTTGATGAGAACATCTGAGAGACCAGGTGCACATGTTTTGCCTTAAAAGCTTGTATATAAATAATACCTTCCGGCCAGGCATGGCGGCATGTACCTGCAGTCCCATCAATTTGGGAGGCTGAGGCAGGAGGATTGCTTGAGGCCAGGAGTTGGAGACTGGCCTGGGTGACCTGGTGATAATCCAGTTCTACAAAAAATAAAAATAAAAATAAATTAGCCAGGTGTGATCGTGTATACCTGTAACCCCTGATACTTGTGGGGCTGAGGCAGCAGGACTGCTTGAGCTCAGGAGTTTGAGACCAGCCTGGGCAACATAATGAGACCCCCATCTACACACACATACTGATATGGTTAGGCTCTGTGTGCCCACTCAAATGCCATCTTGAATTGTAATCCCCACGTATTGCGGGATGGACCTGGCAGGAGGTGATTGGATCGTGAGGGCAGTTTCTTTCATGCTGTTCTCATGATAGTGTGAGTGAGTTCCCACGAGATCTGAGAGAGATCTTGTGAGATCTCTTGTGATGGTGATGTTAACTGCCCCCGCCTCGCCGCCTTGTGAAGATGTTTACTTCTCCTTGGCCTTCTGCCATTGTAAATTTTCTAAGGCTTCCCAGCCATGTGGAACTGTGAGTCAATTAAACCTCTTTCCATTATAAATTACCCAGTCTTGGGTAGTTCTTTTTTTTTTTTTTTTTTGAGTGGACTCTCCCTCTGTTGCCCAGGCTGGAGTGCAGTGGCACAATCTCAGCTCACTGTAACCTTTGCCTCCCAAGTTCAAGCGATTTTCCTGCCTCAGCCTCCTGAGTAGCTGGGATTACAGGCACCTGCTCCACGCCCGGCTAATGTTTGTGTTTTTAGTGGATACAGAGTTTTGCCATGATGGTCAGCCTGGTCTCGAACCCTTGACCTAAGGTGATCCACCCATCTTAGCTTCCTAAAGTGCTGGGATTACAGGCGTGAGCCACCAAGCCTGGCCCCATAATTTTTTTCACTGATTCATAATAATGAGCCAGAGTTGTACTCCGTCGTCTAGGATGGAGCACAGTGGTGTAATCACAGCTCACTGCAATCTTGACTTCCCGGGCTCACCTTGACTTCCGGGGCTCAGGCGATACTTTCATCTCAGCCTTCCTAGGAGCGGGGCCACGGTCACGTGCCACAGTGCCCGGCTGATTTTTATTTTATTGTAGAGATGCGGTCTCACTATGTTACCTAGGCTGGTTTCAAACTCCTGGGCCCGTAATCTACCTGCTTGGATCTCCCAAAGTGCTGGGATTACAGGCTTGAGCCAGCACACCCCGTAATCCTGCATCATTTTGATTAGGAGTTAGTCCTCAGAAACCAGGCATGGCAGAAGAGACAGCTAAACATCTCTTGCTTTATCCACCATGCATACATTCGAGTTGGGATTCCTTTGCTGCAAAACTTGATCTTCAGCTAGATTCAGGTTACTTTATTATTACTCATGATTGTCAACAGTGCATGCTAATAAACTTATTTTTCAGGTATGCAGTTATGTAAATTGGTTAGATTTACTACAGTGTTTAGTTCTGGAAACGTAAGGCATTTACCATATAACTGCTTAGAACACGTATTTCATTTTCAGTTACCTGTTACTATAATTACGGTGGTTTTCTATTTAAGGAAGGGTTTATCTTAAACTTACCTAGAATTAAAAGTTAATTTAAAGGAGGCACTAATTATGACAAAGGCAGGGAGCCGTTAGCACTTGAAACCAGAGTTTGCTACTATGGAAAAGTTTTTAATTTCCAAAAAAAGGAAAGAAAGAATCACGGACTTCGAAAAACTGGTTCAGTAGGCGGGGCGGGGCGGGGAGCGGGTGCGAGATGGCTATGGAAGCCCTGAAGGCCCAGGAGGAGCCTGGAACGCGTTAACTGCTCCAGCGGGAGCTGGAGGAAAACGCCTCCCGCGAGGGCGACGGAATGCGCAGGCGCGTCGGGGCGCCGGGCTGGGGCGCCGGGCTTCACTGCGCAGGCGCGGACGCCGCCGCCGGCGTGGTCCCCATGGAGCTGCCGTAGCGGACCCAGCGCAGCCAGGAGCGTTCGGGATGAGCTCAGCTGCGGCGGACCACTGGGCGTGGTTGTTGGTGCTCAGTTTTGTGTTTGGGTGCAATGTTCTTAGGATCCTCCTCCCGTCCTTCTCATCCTTCGTAAGTGGTTGCCAGGCCTCCCAAGGGCCGGTGGGGACGCCGCCCCAGTCCTCCGACTGGTCTGGCGTAGGTACAAGGTTCTCAAATGGGAGACTGAAGGCCAGATTCAGCCCGTAGCAGCGTCTCGGTTGGTCTGTAAGCTCTTTTGAGATAGTTGCTAGCGTCTAAAAGGGGTGAAACTTTACCCCCAATCTATTTACTAATTCCTAATCTTCAGACTGTCTGGGTTCTAGGGGGTTGGCAGGAGAAACACCCGGCAACCCTGGGCCCCACTTCCACGTGGCAGGAATCTTCTGGCTGGGTGGCGGCGGCGAATCTCACACTGGGAGTGCCCAGTGCCCCGCTGCCAGCCTCACTCGTTTCCGTTAACCCCGGTCCCTAGAGGCATTCGAGCAGTCCCCGGCCAGGATTTCCCAGAAGCCTGGCGGGCGATGTCAGCTGTTCCAGGTCCCGGAGAGATGGATCCTCGCGTCCAGAAGGCCACATTCTTGGGGTGGGTAGGGTGGGAGACAGGTGCAGAGTGAATCTCAGCACAGCGTGATGCTTTCAGTATCCAAGGGAGCAACCAGCTTGGGGAGCACCCTCTTTCTGTCAGGCGTTTTGCTCAGGCAGTGAATACATTTCCTCCGTGTCACGGCTGCTGGGAGAGGAGAGTATTATCATTGCATCCTCCTTTACCTCCCGGAGGAGTCTGGCTCAGAGAATTTAGTAGTTGCACTAAATCATCCACCTAGTGACTGGTGGTGGAGATTAGATTGCCTGTTGGAGCAGGGAGAGGGATTTGGTGGCAAATTGGACGGGGCGTGGTGGGGTGTTGGCATGGGAGGTGTGGGGACATTGGGAACTGTCCCTGGAAATGAGCGCCCTGTGTAGCCCACAGAAGGAATGAGGAGCATTGTCTTGGAACACAGTTCTTGCTTCTCTCTCCTAAGATAAATCGGTAGTAGTGGAGTATGTTTTATTCCATCAGTATTCACTGAGTGCTTGTTTTGTGCAAAACTGTTCTTACTGTCCTCATTGCCTTACTGTCTGCACTGTTCTGAGATATAGGGAATTCTCTTTTACCCCCTGAGCCGCCTTCAGAATCTTTCCTCATGCTATCCAGTCTTTAGCATGATGTTCCAGGTCCTTAGCATTGCATAAAAGACTTTTGACAAGCTGGCCCATACTCATGTTTCTTCTTATTTTTAACTGTAAAATACACATAATATGAAGCTTATCTTTATCGTTTTTAGGTGTACAGCTCAGTGGCATTAAGTACATTCACAGTTTTGTGTAACCATTATCCCAGAACTTTATTATTATTTTAAGACGGTGTAGCTCTGTGCAGCCATAGTCTCGGCTCATTGCAACCTCTGCCTCCCAGGTTCAAGTGATCCTCCCACCCCAGCCTCCCAAGTAGCTGGGACCATAGGCATGCACCACCATGCCTGGCTATTTTTTGTATTTTTGATAGAAATGGAGGCTTGCCGTGTTGGCCAGGCTGGTCTCAAACTCCTGAGTCAAGCCATCTGCCCACCTTTGCCTCTCAAAATGCTGGGATTACCGATGTGAACCACTGTGCCCGGCCCCCACTCCTAGAACTTTTACTTTTTCTTTTGAGACAGAGTCTCACTCTGTTGCCCATGCTAGAGTACAGTGGCCTGATCTTAGATCACTGCAGCCTCCACCTTCCAGGTTCAAGCAATTTTCCTGCCTCAGCCTCCCAAGTAGCTTTGATTACAGGCACCTGCCACCATGCCTAAATTTTGTATTTTTAGTAGAGATGGTGGGGGTCTCACTATGTTGCCCAGGCTGGTCTCGAACCCCTGACTTCAAGTGATCCACCCTCCTCTGCCACCTAAAGTGCTAGGATTACAGGTATGAGTCACCACGCCCCACCCCATCCAAGAACTTTTTCATCTCTTCTAACTGAAACTCTTGTACCCATTAAACAACTACTTTCCATTCCTACCTCCTCCTGACAACCACCATTGTACTTTCTGTCTCTATGAATTTAACTACTTTTGGGACCTCATATATGGGGAATCAGACAGTATTTTTCCTTTTGTGTCTGGCCTCTTTCAGTCGGTGTAATAGCCTTAAGGTTCATCTGTGTTGTAGCATGGGTCATGATTTCCTTCCCTTTTAAGACTGAATAGTATCTCATTGTGTGTATAAGCCACATTTTGTTTATTCATTCATCCGTCTGTGGACACCCGGGTTTTTTCTACCTTTTGACTATTGTAGATAATGCTAAAATGTTTACAAATATCTCTTTGAGTCTCTGCTTTCATTTTTTCTGGACATACACCCAGAAGTGTAATTGCTGGATCTGTGGTGAGTCTATGTTTAATTTTTTTGAGAAACTATCGTACTGTTTTCCATAGCAGCCTCACCATTCCACCAGCAGTGCAGAAGGGTTCCAGTTGCTCCACATCCTTCAACATGTATTTTGTTTTCTTATTTATTTAAATTTTTTTATTTTTATTTTGAGATGGAGTCTCATTCTGTCACCCAGGCTGGAGTGCAGTGGCTCAATCTTGGCTTACTACAACCTCGGCCTCTCGAGTTCAAGCAATTCTCCTGTCTCAGCCTCCCAAGTAGCTGGGATCACTGGTGCGTGCCACCACACCCAGCTAATTTTTTGTATTTTTAGTAGAGATGGGGTTTAGTAGAGATGAGAGCCATATTGGCCAGGCTAGTCTCGAACCCCTTGACCTCAGGTGATCCGCCCATCTCAGCCTCCTAGAGTGCTGGGATTGTGGGCATGAGCCGCCGCACCCAGCCTTTTTGTTGTTGTTGTTGTTGTTAATATACTAATCATCCTAATGGATGGAAGGTGGTGTCTCATTTTAGTTTTGATTTGCATTTCCCTAATAATTAGTGATGTTGAATATCTTTTCAGATGCTTATGGCCATCCGTTTATCTTTGGAGATATGTCTAGTCATATCTTTTGCCCTCTTTTAAAATCCAGTTGTTTGTTTTTTTTGTTGTTTAGTTCCTTTTATTGTTATTATATATATGTATTTGAGACAGAGTTTCTCTCTGTTGCCCAGGCTAGAATGCAATGGTGTGATTGTGGCTTACTGCAGTCCCCGCCTCCTGGGTTCAAGCGATTCTTCTGCCTGTATGTGCCACTACACCCAGCTAATTTTTGTGTCTTTTTTTAGTAGAGGGGTGGTTTCACCATGTTGACCAGGCTAGCCTTGAACTCCTGACCTCAGGTGATCCACCGGCTTCGGGCTCCCAAAGTACTGGGATTACAGGCATGAGCCACTGTGCCTGGCCAACAATTTTTTTTTTAAACTTTTGTTTTAAGTTCAGGGGTACATGTGCAGGTTTGTTACATAGTTAAACTTGTGTCATGGGAGTTCTTTGTACAGATTATTTGTCACCCAGTTATAAAGCCTAGTACTCATTAGTTATATTTCCTGATCCTCTCCCTCCTCCCACCCTCCATCCTCTGGAATAAAAAAATTTGTTTTTAGAGGCAGGGTCTTGCTTTGTGACTCAGGACCTGTGTCCACATCCAGTCCTGCCTCCTACAAGCTTATGGCCTCTCTAATCTCAACGTAGTTAGCTTTCTTAAACCCATTTCCCTTTGGGTGTAACACTTGTCAGCCAGGCTCAGAAGGACAACATAATATCCTAGCAGAGTACACCCTGCCCCCCCATAAAATTGGTAACAGAGATGTTTGGCCTGGTCACTGGGTTTGTGGTGAGGTCTGTAAAAAGCTTTAAGGAGCTCGCTGGTCTTGAGTAGGGTCAAATGTTGCTTCTTCACCATCATCAGAGGCTGCCTCATCACAGCCACGGATTTGAGGATTTAAGTGGGAAGGACTCATGGCAAGCGACAAAAAGTCGAATTGGGAAAACAGTGCCCTCAGGGATGGGGCCATGCTCAGGTACTTAGATTACAACCTCCCTTGGGATTGTTTCTGAAGCTTTTGTCCTGGCAGAAGTTAGGGAGGGAGCCTGCTGATCTCATTAGCAAGTTTAGGCCGCACTGATCCTCCCCTTGTGAGGCCCCTTAGAAGGTCTGAAGTATCAGAAGTCCTTGGGCCGGTTAAGCCTCGCAAGGTCCTGGGAAGTGATCTCAGCTGCCCACTGCGGTGGGGGTGGGATGCCTAGTGTTGGCGTGGTTCGAATTTTCCTGGGGATCTCTCCCTCCTCTTCAAGCTAGGCACAGGACGCATGGTTGAGAGAGCCCAGTTCATTCAGTACGTGGTCCGGGACTTTCTTCAGCTATAGGAGGGGAACAAAGACGCCTTTGGTGAGCACCGGCTCTGCAGGTGCAGGGGAGGTGCAGTGCGCAGGCGCCCCAGGGCTGGCGCTGGCTCAAGGTCCAGGTCAACAGCATGCACTGCGCAGGTGCCCCAGGACTGGCGCGGGCTGAGAGTCCATGCAAACCAGACGACTGCGCAGGCGTCCCAGGACTGGCACGGGCTCAGAGTCCATGCAAACCGGACGACTGCACAGGTGTCCCAGGACTGGTTCGGGCTCAAGTTCCATGCAAACAGCATGCACTGCGCAGGCGTCCCAGGCCTGGCGCGGGCTCAGAGTCCATGCGAACCACACGCACTGTGCAGGTGCCCCAGGACTGGGGCAGGCTAAGGGTTCTTGCAAGCCGTATGCGCTGCGCAGGCGCCAGGAGGCCCTTCCTTGCAGCCCTAGCTTTGCAGAAAAAGGACGCTTCGCGGGTTGCCTTCTAGGTTTATGGGGCCGAGCACCGTTTCAGATGTAACATTTTCTAAATTATCCTTCACTTTCTGCTATAAAGAGTGGCCACTCCTTTTCCCTCTAGGGGACTGAAGCAAGAGGAGGATGTTGCAGGGTTTGCCTCTGTGGTCGTCTTCCTTAGAGCAACCCGCCCCCATACCCGTTTCCTCAGAGCAGTTGCTTAGTGAGTCTCTGCCAGGGACCAGGCTTGGGGATGGTCTCAAGTATTAGTTTAGAGGGACGACGCTCTGCGTCACAGGACCTGCCCCAGAGCCCTCAGACTGAGAAGCGTGCTGGTGAAATGCGCATGTGCAGGCAGGGCTTCCTGTGGGGCTCTCGCGGGGGCAGCAGCCAAGGATAGGGGCCCTGGCAGCCTGGAGAGCTGCCCCCTTCTCGGTCCTGGCTGGTGGGGATCCTGGCTGAGAATGGCATCTAGGGGTGTTTAGGGTCTGGAGTTTCTTGGATTGGAGGTCTTTGTCCCCTGTGGTCGGGGACCTCAGGGTGACCTGAGTTGGTGATTCCTGGGTTTGCCTACTCTACTGCTGACAGGGACAAGCAGGGGCTGTGCACTTTGTCATGCCATCAGTTAATTGCCAGCAAGGGAGTGAGAGAGGTGGAGTGGGAGTTTGAATCTCTCCAGGGTGACCCCAAAGTCAAGCCTCGGCATTTTACCTGTTGGCAAAGAGGACATTGAACCTGGACAGGATCTGCGGCTGACAGTGGCAGGAGGACATTATGAGCTGAGACAGATGGGCTTCCAGCATCTTTCTAAGGTGGACGGGAGAATTGGTTCTCCCCTTTTTTCCTCCATGCCTGAGTCATCTTGATAAGAATTTTATAAACTCATTTTCTGCTTCAGAATGTCTTGTGGCCTATCTACAGGTCCTTGAAAGGCTGTGCCCTGTTCAGCTTGTTTTTACCAACTGTGAGTTTTAATGGTCTGGAAGGTGGGTTTTGAGTACATAAAAGGACTCCAGAGATTTACTTTTGTTGTAAAAATTAATATTTGCATTATTACATTTAGATTCATATCTTATTAAATCTTACACTGTGTAATTCTAGAACGTTTTAACATTTATATGTGGCTCTTGGATTAACATTGATACATATTTGCAAATTTATACTTTAAAACTTTTTTTTTTTTTTTTTATACACAGGGTCTCTGTTGCCCTGGCTGTAGTGCAGTGGTGCCATCATAACTCACAGAAGTCTCAACTTCCCAAGCTCAAGCGATTCCCCCCTCCCCACCTCAGCCTCCCAAGTAGCTGGGGTCACAGGGACCACAGGCATGTACTAGCATGCTTGACTAATTTTTAATTTTTCTGTAGAGATAGGGTCTTGCCGCGTTGCCCAGCCTGGCCGGGAACTCCTGAGCTCAAACGATCCTCCTGCCTCAGTCTCCCAAAGTGCTGGGATTGCAGAAGTGAACCACCGCGCCTGGCTCAGAATTTTATTGTGCTTATACATGTAATAGATGTAATTACTTTTTTCAAGCACCGTTTTTTTTGCTAACCTTAAAAAGCTGCCTTCAGTTTTCCTCAAGTTCACCCTTCTGCCTTCACTCACCTCGCATTCCTGAGTTTTGTGTATACCCTATAATGGCAAATGTCTTGAAGCCTCTTTTTCTTTTTAAAATATGGTTTTAAAAGTCAGATTTATTGAAGTGTAATTTGTATAAGGTGATATTATCAAAAGTTCTTAGCAGTGTCTGTAGATTTTCCTTGCTTTTGAAAAATTTTATGATTTCATCTAAGAATTTGGCCCATTCCTATTTCTTTCTCCAGAGTGGATCAGGCTGGAGTATATATAGCTCATTTAGTTAGAGTGTTGGGTAGTGGCCAGGGCAGAGGCACCACAAAGAGAGCTGGATTTGAAGACCCCCCTTACTCCCTGCACAAGGCCTGCCAGAAACTGCGCGGTAGCGAACACATTGCACAGGCACTGTTAGGAGGCTTCAGTGGGCGGCCCACAAACTTGCGCATGCGCAGACACCCTCAGGTGACCGGATTCACCTTTACAGCTCTAACTGGAGAGTTGCCCCTACTTTGTGGCAGGTGGAGGGGGGCTGTGAGCTGGAAGGTGGGGGAACTCATGTAGTGTGCGCTTGCTGTGTGCCAGGCACACTTTAGATACGCTATATAACATTTCATCTTTTTTTTTTTTTAAATTTCAAATCAAATACAAATGTGCAGAAAAGTTATGCATACAATCAATACAAAGAACTGGTTTTGTTTCCTGGCCCATTTGGAAGTTGTCAGCCGGGACCCCCTCATTTCCAGATAGTTGGGTATGCAGAAGAATCTTGGGGGCCGGGCGCGGTGACTCACGCCTGTAATCCCAGCACTTTGGGAGGCCGAAGCGGGAGGATCGCTTGAGCTCAGGAGTTCACGGGCAGCATAGTGAGACCCTGTGTCTACTAAAAATTAAAAAAAAATTAGCCACGTGTAGTGGTGCACGCCTGTGGTCCTAGGTACTCAGGGGACCGAGATGGCGGGATTGCTTGAGCCCAGGAAGTCGAGGTTGCAGTGAGCCATAATACAGGCATCAAGTACATTACAACGATCTGATCCTCAGGCCCTGTGCAGGTTCCCCACGTGTTGCAGTAACTTCTTTAACAGGAAAAAGACCTAGTTTGGAATCACGCGTTGCATTTCCTTCCCTCTCGTCTCCTTCTGTCTGGAGGAGTTTCTCGGTCTTCTCTCGACTTTCATGGCTGTCATTTCTGAGTATTAGAGGACATTGATTTCCCAGAATGGACGCCTGTTGGCATGTCTGATACTTGGCAGGGGTATCTGAGAGATAGTGCTGTATTCTCATTGTGTCTCATCCGCTTGTGTGGGACTGCGATTTGGGGATGTTCGCTGATCCCTTGGGGCAGGTGGCAGAGGCGCCCCCGAGGGTTTTTAGACCTGGTTCTGGGGCGCCGCGCAGTCCCTGGACTAGGCCTTCCCGGCAGGTCGGCGGGCGCCACCTGGCGGCCACTGCCGACTCGTTGCGCTCCAGTCGCACTTTCCCTCCCGTGGCCTTGGCCTGGGGCGGTTCCCTGTAGAGTGGAAGGTTGGGGCTGGTGCGGGGAACAGGGGACTGCGGGGGCGGCGCAGGCGGGTCCCCAGGTCATGCAGGGTCCCTCTGCTTACAGGGAGCAGCCAGGGGAGGGTGCCTGGGGAGGGTACCTCTTTGTTTACTTCTGTATTTCTCTGCCTATCTGTGGAAACCACAGATTTTCATCACCACAAGATGCATTCTGGTCCTCTCCGAGACTGACTGACTTTCTTTTCTGTTTTTTTTTTTTTTTCCTTTTCTTTCCTTCCTTTCTCTCTCTTTCTTTTGTTTTTTAAAATCTATTTATTTAGAGACTGGATTATGAAACTGGCTAATTTTTGTATTTTTTGTAGAGGCAGGGTTTCACCATGTTGCCAAAGCTGCTCTCACACTCCTGGGCTCAAGTGCTTTACCTGCCTTGGCCTCCCTAAGTGCTGGGATTACAGGCGTGAGCCACCGCACCTGGCCGCCTTTTCTGTTTTCTTTTTCTTTTCTTTTCTTTTTTTTTTTTTTTTTTTTTTTGAGACAAGGTCTCACTCTGTTGCCCAGGCTGAAGTCCAGTGGCATGATCTCAGCTCACTGCAGCCTTGAACTCCTGTACTCAAGAGATCCTCCCATCCCGGCCTCCCAGAGTGTTAGGGTTGCAGGCTGAGTCACTGTGCCGGGCTGAGGCATCTTTCTAAGTGTTTTTGCTGAAAGTGAGAAGACTGGCTTCTATTACCCTCAATGTTTTTGTTTCCGTGATCCCCTCTTTGTAAGTAAGTTCTGGTGTTACCCGTGTGAATGCACACCTCGTCCCACCTGGGCTCTGATACTGGCAGGGTTCCTTCTCCTCTTATATGTCCATCCCCCTCACCCTACAGACCCTGACTCCTGAGTCAGGCTGCCCTTTACTGGGCACTCCTGTATCACCATGCTTGGTGCTGATGCCTCTTGCCAGGGTGCCACTCTATGGGAAGGCCCTCTGCACTGCGCTTGGGTGCTGACACTCTGCCCTGCGCCCCGCCTCACCACTGTTACCCTGCGCCTGCATCTTGCTTTGCCCTGTCTAATCTAGGTTTGAATTCTTCAGGGAGGGGAGAGGATACATGTTCCCTGTCACTGGAATAACAACTCTGATGGAATTGATTTTCATTTCATAACTGCAATTTTAGTTATAGTGAAAGAGACATACATTTGTATTGGAGCAATTCATGGGCATATCTGCAAAATGAAAAATACAGTTTGAATAGCAATTTGAATACGAGGTTTTTTTTTTTTTTTTTTTTTTTTTGTGGTGGCTATAGGGAGCCGTAAAAGGCAGCAGAGCCTGGCTGTGTAGGTAGAGGGCAGCTTGCCCAGCTGCCAGAGGTGGGAGTAGGATATTGGAGGGAGGTATATCAGTTCTGTCTGGCCAAACCCATGCTGGAGTCCCCTCAAAAGCAGTGGCAGGGGAGTTCCCTCAAGGGGCTGCTCCAGGCTGTCTGGAGATGGGGCCGGCTGGGATTCCAAAGAAAGAAGCACTAAACGCCAGGATGATCAGTCCACAGCATTTGAAGGGAACTTACAAGGAGCTGCAGCAGTCCTGGGACGACCAGTGAGAGCAAGGGACGTTTAGCTAGGGATGTTTGCCGCCAGGGCATTGGGTTATGGAGTGGATGTGGGAGCTTAAGGACTTCGTCATGCAGGGCGAGTTTGTAGGTGTTTCTCAGCAGGGTGAATCTCCCAGTGTTCTCCAGCAACAGCCTTCACTCTTTATCTCTTTATCGGTCCTGGGAGCATTCATGGCCCCAGTTTGGGTTCAAGCCTGCAGGGAAACACACAACTGGCTGGGTCACAGAGTGGTCAGGGCATAGAAATAAGGTTCGGTGTGGGGGACTGGGGTACCGTCCTGTAGGCCGTGTTGGAAGGTGCTGATCCCGCTGTCCACCCTGCCAGATGTCCAGGGTGCTGCAGAAGGATGCGGAGCAGGAGTCACAGATGAGAGCGGAGATCCAGGACATGAAGCAGGAGCTCTCCACGGTCAACATGATGGACGAATTTGCCAGATACGCCAGGCTGGAAAGAAAGATCAACAAGATGACGGATAAGCTCAAAACCCACGGTACTGCATCTGTCGCAGCCTGAAGGCTTCACGAGAACCGATTAATAGAGAAGTCTTTATATAAAGATTCCTAGAATACACGCTTTGCTTCTTGATGTTCTGAATGTTGATGGAAACTTTTAAGTTATCTGGTGGAAACTCAGTAATAATTACTACTTTCTCCTTATTTGCTGGTGAACCTTTGCTTTTTAAGCACAGAAACATCTAAGATCCTCTCAGATTTTCCTCGGAGCCAACTTGTTATTGTAGGTTTTCATGTTCTTATTTATTTATTTATTTATTATTATTATTATTTTTTTTGAGACGGAGTTTCACTCATGTTACCCAGGCTGGAGTGCAATGGCGCGATCTCAACTCACCGCAACCTCCGCCTCCTGGGTTCAGGCAATTCTCCTGCCTCAGCCTTCTGAGTAGCTGGGATTACAGGCACGCACCACCATGCCCAGCTAATTTTTTGTATTTTTTTTTTTTTTTTTTTGAGATGGAGTTTTGCTCTTGTTACCCAGGCTGGAGTGTAATGGCGCGATCTCGGCTCACCGCAACCTCCGCCTCCTGGGTTCAGGCAATTCTTCTGTCTCAGCCTCCTGAGTAGCTGAGATTACAGGCACGCGCCACCATGCCCAGCTAATTTTTTGTAGTTTTAGTAGAGACGGGGTTTCACCATGTTGACCAGGATGGTCTCGATCTCTTGACCTCGTGATCCACCCGCCTCGGCCTCCCAAAGTGCTGGGATTACAGGCTTGAGCCACCGCTCCTGGCCTTATTATTATATTTTTAAAGACGGGGTTTCACCTTGTTGGTCAGGCTGGTCTTGAACTCCCGACCTCAGGTGATCCGCCCGCCTTGGCCTCCAAAGTGCTTGGATTACAGACGTGAGCCACCATGCCTGGCCTGGGTTTTCATTTTCAAATTCATCACTTTTCTGAGAGAAGCCCAGAAAAAAGTCTCACAGTGGATTCCCAGAGGCTTTTGTTCCACTCTCTGGAAAAATGCCCAGCAGTGTTCTCTTCCGGGGGTAGCCTTCAGGTACAGTCTCCTGTGATGAAGAGCGCTTTCTCAGGGCAGCCCATGTGCTGAGGGACCCTGTTGGTGTGTGCACAGTCGGAGAGCTGTCTCTGTGGCCAGGAAAACAGACAGAGGGGCCTGTCCAGGCACAGGACAAGCTGGACTCCCACCAGGGATTCATGTACTATGCAGACTGGGAAACGGGGGGAAATTTACTCCTGTTGGTAAGGGGTAACTGCATTATACAAAGAACCTTTCATTCCATGAGTCATTTTAAGAGTTTTCAAAATTAAAGGTATTCAAATCTCATAATCTGAGTGTGATTCTATTTTAAATAATGGCATAATGAGATGGTAGGTGACTTAAAAAATTCTATTTTATGTTTTCTAAATATATTGAGTGATTATTCCATCAATATATTGAGTGATTGTTCCCTTATAAAACTATTTTATAAGGGAAAATAACACTTCTGTGTATTTGAATACTTCATTAATTTTTCAGGACTGACATAATTATTTATCCTATTTTTCCTTTCAGTGAAAGCTCGGACAGCTCAATTAGCCAAGATAAAATGGGTGATAAGTGTGGCTTTCTACGTATTGCAGGTAAGTGTGCTAGAGAGTCACCCTGGTTATTGGAGTTGGGGACCCCGGGCCTCGAGCGGTGCCTGCAGATCCAGGCCAGGAGTTGGGGCTGTTCCACCTTCAGCTGTCGTGTTGTGTGGTCCCGCCCACATGGAGCTCTGAACGCTCTCTAAGTCAGAAAGCCTTTCTCTAGAGGAGAGTTGTTAAAGTTTGGGACTTTTTGGCAGGTGAACTGTGAAGTAACTTCTTGGAGAGCTTCCGCCATACCTTTATCCCAGTGCGGTTTGAAGGGCTGGCAGGACGCGATGAGAAGCTTGGAGATGACTTTGTTTTTTTCTGAGATTTTCAATCATTTTGGCCCTTACTCGGTAACTGGTCTACTTCATGGGCACTCCACTCTCCTGGTAGAGAACCAGGTTTTCTGACCGGAATTGGCTTCTGGTTTCCTGTATGAGGATTAACCCACGTGTCGTCTCCTGGAGCTGTTGCTGGGCTCTGCTTTGGCCCGAGAACGCATTTGTGCTGCCCAGACACCTTCAGCAGCTGCCGTAAACATCTGAGTTGCAGTACTGTGTGATCTAGTAGTGAGTCGGAGGATTCCAGCCCACCCCCAGAAAACTTTGTTTGCGGGGTTATATTTAAGGAAATTGATCCTGAGGCACTGTCACTTGCTAAGAGAGGTTTCCTGCAGGCAGAGGAGTTAGGCCGGCAGCCCTCTTTCATGTCTCCTCTTCTTTTTTTTCTTCCGTCCCTCCTCCATGTCTCCTCTTCTGAGTGGCCTGTTCAAGCCAGAAAGGGGACAGGTGACAGTTGAAGGAATGCTGCTGGGGGAAGGAGGGAAATAAAGCATCCCCTAGCATTGAAACTTACATGCTCACCTCTGCGTGCCTTGCTAACACTGGTGTATGTGGGAAATTCGCTGTTTATTTCAAGGATGGCTGTTGTCACTAATAAGGTATATTTTGCATACAGTCCAGCTACTCAAAGGAGATACTCAGTGAGAAAAGCACACTCGTGTTATGGGAGACTTTGGTTAGTTTATGAGCTAATTTGAAGTATGTGTAGATATTCATCCTAAAACAGTGAAATGACAGTTCCCCTGTGAAGGCTTGCCTACTTGCTGGCAGTGTTCCAGACATGCTGTCAAGCTCGTCTTTAATTGCACTTCCTACTTCACGGTTTCACCAGGGGACATTAGTGGCTGTGCGTGCTCATCTGTCATCTGTGGCGGCTGGGTTCACAGGCTTGAGGTGGTTCAGTCTGGAGGGTTTTCCTGGTTTTGCTTTTGCTTTTCCCTGTCTTCCTGTTGCGTTGTGGGTTGTGTGGTTGGCAGGCTGCTTCACTCACCAGAGGTGTCTTTCCAGGCTGCCCTGATGATCTCACTCATTTGGAAGTACTATTCTGTTCCTGTGGCTGTCGTGCCGAGTAAATGGATAACCCCTCTAGACCGCCTGGTAGCCTTTCCTACTAGAGTAGCAGGTAAGAATTTTCTGGAAGATACAGTGGAAGAGTGTGGATAGGCTTATGTAGAAGTGTGTAGTAGATTAAGTTAGCCTGACATCCTCCTCACCGTCTATTTAGTGAGCAGGGTTTTGTGTCTCATGCCATGAAGAAACAGGTCTAGGAAAGTTACTTCAGCTGACGGTGTCACCAGAATGTTAAGGAGCAAAGCTGGAATTCAGTCCGACTTCTGTGTCCAGGATTCATGCCCAATACGGCAAGTCTGACACCCCCTTGAAACACTAGCTGTTTTTCCAAAATTCTGTGTCTTTTCAGTCCCTATTATGGCTGTCCTCTCTGTAGCACTTGCTGCTCTTGGCTATTTTCTTTTCGCTTTGTTTTTTTTTTTGTTTTTTTTTTTTTGAGACGGAGTTTCGCTCTTGTTGCCCGGGTTGGAGTGCAATGGCGCGATCTCGGCTCACCGCAACCTCCGCCTCCTGGGTTCAGGCAATTCTCCTGCCTCAGCCTCCTGAGTAGCTGGGATTACAGGCACGCGCCACCATGCCCAGTTGATTTTTTGTATTTTTAGTAGAGATGGGGTTTCACTATGTTGACCAGGATGGTCTTGATCTCTTGACCTTGTGATCCACCAGCCTCGGCCTCCCAAAGTGCTGGGATTACAGGCGTGAGCCACTGCGCCCGACCCTGCTTTGTTTTGTTTTTTTGAGCTAGAATTTCACTCCGTCACCCAGGCTGGAGTGCAGTGGTGCGATCTCTGCTCACTGCAACCTCCGCCTCCCAGGTTCAAGCAATTCTTGTGCCTTAGCCTCCAAACTAGCTGAAATTACAGGTGTGCACCACCAAGTCCAGCTAATTTTTGTAGTTTTAGTAGAGATGGGGTTTCACCATGTTGGCCAGGCTGGTCTCAAACTCCTGACCTCAAGTGATCCTCATGACTCGGCCTCCCAAAGTGCTGGGATTACAGGTATGAACCACCATGCCTGGCCACATTCCTTTATTTTTGAAGATAATTTTTTTTGGATATCAAAAGTAGTACATGTCACTCTAGAATGATTAGGAATATAGCTATTATTTAAAAGTCCCAGCTGGGTGCAGTGGCTCACGCCTGTAGTGCTAGCACTTTGGGAGGCCAAGGTGGGTGGATTGCCTGAGCTCAGGAGTTTGAGACCGACTCGGGCAACATGGTGAAACCCTGTCTCTACTAAAGTACAAAAAATTAGCCGTGAGCGGTGGTGGGCACCTGTAATCCTGGCTACTCGGGAGGCTGAGGCAGGAGAATTGCTTCAAACCAGGAGGTGGAGGTTGCAGTGAGCTGAGATCATGCCACTGCACTCCAGCTTGGGTGACACAGTGAGACTGTCTCTAAAAAATAAATAAATAAAAAATAAGATTCCTGTTAGCTTTTAATGCTATGATAGTTTTTCTTTGTCTTTTTTCCCCCAATTAATTTTGATATAGTTAAGGTCATCTAACGCATAACATTTTATACCTGTTTTTAACTTGGTAGTGTAAGCCTGTTCCCACATGACTTAGTTTGTTCGGGCTAAGTGAAGTACTGTAAACTGGGTAGCTTATAAACAACAGAAATTTATTTCTCACTGTTCTGGAGACTGGCGAGTCCAGCAGATTTGATGTCTGACGATGGCCCATTTTCCAGTTCCTGGATGGTGTCCTCTTTCTGTATGCTTGCATGGTGGAAGGACAAGCTCCTTTAGGCCTCTTTTATAAGGGCACTAATCCCATTCACAACAACTCTGCCCTTAATCACCTCTCTGAAGGTCCCAACTCTTAATACCATCACTGGGGGCGGGTAGCATATTAACATAGGAATCGTAGGGGCATACAGACATTCATTCCATAGCACCATATCAGTAAATTTCTTTCTTTTCTTTGTCTTGAGACAGAGTCTTGCTGTTGCCCAGGCTGGCAGTGGCACCCTCACAGCTCACTACAGCCTCGAACTCCTGGGCTCAAGTGATCCTCCCACCTAAGTCTCCTGAGTAGTTAGGATCATAGTTGCACACCACCATGCCCAACTAATTAAAAAAAATGTTTTTTATAGAGATGGGGTCTTGCTTTTTTGCCTAGGTCGGTCTCAAACTCTTGGCTTTAAGCAATCCTCCCTCCTTAGCCTCTCAAGAGTGCTAAGATTATAGGCATGAGTCACCTTGCCCAGCAGATTTCTTTATTAAGGAATTTTCAATAGCTATTCTTCATTCAGTAGGTCATAATTTGCAAGTTTTCTGATGAAAGGTATTTATTTGGGTCTTAATTTTTTACTTTTAAAGATAATGCTGCAGCACACATCCTTGCTGGTCTTTGGCTGTGATTTGTGGTTATGCTAGAGGTGAATATTGTATCAAAAAAAATGACTATTTCTTTTTCTTTCTTTCTGTCTTTTTTTGAGACAGAGTCTCCCTCTGTCACCCAGGCTGGAGTGCAGTGCCGCAATCGGCTCACTGCAACCTCTGCCTCCTGGGTTCAAGCAATTCTCCTGCCTCAGCTTCTTGAGCAGCTGGGACTGCAGGCACATGCCACCATGTCCAGCTAATGTTTTGTATTTTTAGCAGAGATGGGGTTTCACCGTGTTGGCCAGGCTGGTCTCGAACTCCTGACCTCAGGTGATCCACTCGCTTTGGCCTCCCAAAGTGCTGGGATTACAGGCGTGAGCCACTGAGCCTGACCAGGAATGACTATTTCAAAGACTCCCAATGTAGGTACCACCTCTGTCCTCTTCCCCACCCTTTCCTTCCCCTCTCCTTTGTCTGACACAGCTGGGCCCAGGCCAGGAGCTCTGCGCTGCTGGCCAGAGAAGCATCCAGCCACCCTTCCATGCATCCAGCAGGGCCATGGGCCGCTCTTGCAGCCTGTCCTCCTGGACAGGAGAATGTGTGTGCCTCTCCATTATTGATGGGGCAAGAACAGCATAGGTAGACATTGGTTTGTTTAAAATGCTTTTTGAGAAAGGGAAAATAAATAATCTTACAGGTTTGGTTTTGGAATCTATTAATGTCATAAATAGTAATGCACATCTCTCTGGCAGGAAAGGGAAATTCAACCCAGTGTTCACTGTTGAGTGCAATTCCTGCTTAGTAAAGAATGCAGCCCTGTGATTCTATAGAAAGTGACTAATTCGAACCTATGAAACATATAAACTTTGCCTGGGCACAGCACTGCTCAAAAAGAATGGCAATACTCTCTTTGCTGTGAGTTAATGACGGCAGAGGCAGATGTGGACAGCACTGCTGACACGCTCTCTCATGGCAAATTTCTTTATTTTCAGGTGGTGTTGGAATTACCTGTTGGATTTTAGTCTGTAACAAAGTTGTGGCTATTGTGCTTCATCCGTTCAGCTGAACAGGAAGATGGATACAGCTATGAGGCTTTTAAAAATGGATTTTCTCTTATTAGGTTAAAAATCTGATTTATACTTTTTTTTTTAAGAAACAAAAGTACACAGTTTAGATTTTTTTTTGTTGAATATGTTTGTTCTTGGACTTTATGAGAGATTCTTATAAGAATCATGATTTTCTACACTTGTCGTTGAGCCAAGAAAGTCCAGTTTATGACACGTGTATACCAACGAACACCGTCCTAGATCCGTATGAAATGTGAAACGTTCAGGGGCATCTCCGTGCCGCCGCTCGTGATTTGCACTCGTATATTTTGGTCATATTGCCAGCCAGAAACTCAAAATTTTCTAACAACTTAAGTTCTGTGAAGACTTAGTGCCGCTTTTAATCCGGCTTAGAAAGTAACTTAATTTTAATCCCACTACTAAGAATTTGAGAATTTCTTCTTTAACCACATTCAGTACAACTAAAAGAACAACACTAATTAACATTGCTTAGGCTTTTTCTCCCTTTGTTTAAAATGTCATTTGAGCAAGAGCTGTATAGTATTATCTACTTACTCGAAGCTGTTAATTTTTCATTACAGTGTTTTGTAAATGTATCCATGAGACCATAATGCATTGTTTTGTGCTCAAATTGTGTTTTGTATTTAAAGCATTTTGAATGAAGTGTATTTTGTAAGCATTTAATATTTATGCTCTTTAGAATGGAACACAGGAAACAAACCTTATCAGGCCTGATTAAATTATTCTGAACCAATAACCTGTGTGGCCCACAAAGTATAATTCTGCTAAATGCTTTTTAAAACACTTTTTTCTAATTAAAATCTTGGCAAATGCTTGTGCGACTTCCTGCCTTACAGCCAGTATTTACTGTGAGCCATCCGTAACTGACGAGTGGCTGTTAACTGAGTAACACATCACAGTAAAGCTGAATTCTGTCACGAGTTTTTGCAGGTTCGTATTTGTATTTTTCCCTAATCTACTAAGTAGCTTGTCATATCTTAGCTGATTGGACTGTGGAAAGACAAAGTGCTGTGGTCCTTTAGTTACTGTCATACCGAAGACACCAGAGTGGCTTTTGGGTTCCACTCACATGTACTGCAGGCTTACCCAGCACGTTTACTTAGCTTTAAGAAAGGACTGAGAGCAGGGAACACAGCCGCAGCCTGGGGGAGGACCTGGACACCAGCTTCCAGTGTTCTTCACCCCCCGGGGATACATTTTGCCCACAAAGGATGAGAAGCCAGCCTGAGGAGCAGATGAGAGCAGCACACGGAAGCTACGGGGACTATTCCCTCAGACAAAATGTAGCACCAAGGGGCCACGTGCCGAACTTCCGTTTGAGTGAGCTGCAGGCAGAAATGATGGTGGGACAGTCAACAATGCACCGGCCAGGTAGAGCGTGCCCAGGGAGGTGTGGTTTGGATCACACATCTATCTGTGTACAGTATCCCTGCTGAGACCCTTATCTCTTGAAGACATACTCATTCAGCTGTTACTGTTACAAGAATTTTGGCAAATCTCACTGAGGCTAGAGGAAAAAATTCCTAGTTGACAGCTGTTAACTTTCCCTATGCATGAATAGTTTGTGATGATTAAATGGGGGAAATGTAAATGTCCTTTATGTTTTACATTATAGTATCTTTTTAAAAATGATAGTTTTTTTTTTTTTTTTTTTTTTTTTTGAGACGGAGTTTCACTCTTTTGCCACGATGGAGTGCAGTGGTGTGATCTTGGCTCTTCGCAGCCTCTGCCTCCTGGGTTCAAGTGATTCTCCTACCTCAGCCTCCTGAGTAGTGGGATTACAGGCGTGTGCCTCTACACCCAGCTAATTTTTGTATTTTTAGTAGAGAGGGGGTTTCACAATGTTGGCCAGGTTGGTCTTGAACTCCTGACCTCAGGTGATCCGCCCACCTGGGCCTCCCAAGGTGCTGGGATTACAGGTGTGAGCCATGCCCAACCTACTATCTAACATATGATGAACATGGTGCTGAATTCAGACGATGGAGAAAGGGCTACAGTAAATGTGCATCTTATGACTCTTGTCACCCAATTTCCCAAAGTTTTCCTCTGTTACCAGTTTCTTATACTACCAGTGATAGTCCATGCATTTATGAATATTAATATATGTGCTTTTAAGATAAATGTTTTAAAGTGATAAAAGTAATACCTAAAAAGATAAAAGTAGTACCTATTTACTGCTTTTTAAAAAAGATTACTTTGGCCGGGCGCGGTGGCTCACGCCTGTAATCCCAGCACTTTGGGAGGCCGAGGCGGGTGGATCACGAGGTCAAGAGATCGAGACCATCCTGGTCAACATGGTGAAACCCCGTCTCTACTAAAAATACAAAAAGTTAGCTGGGCATGGTGGCGCGTGCCTGTAGTCCCGGCTACTCGGGAGGCTGAGGCAGGAGAATTGCCTGAACCCAGGAGGCGGAGGTTGCGGTGAGCCAAGATCGCGCCATTGCACTCCAGCCTGGGTAACAAGAGCGAAACTCCGTCTCAAAAAAAAAAAAAAAAATTACTTTGGTAATTCTCACATTTCACATTTTTTCATTATTATCTATATGGTGGTCTGTGGTCAGTGATATTTGATGTTACCATTGTAATTGTTTTGGGGCATCAAGAATTACACCTGTATGAGGCCGCAGATTTAATGAATACATGTGTATGTGCTGACTGCTCCACTGACTTGGCCATTCCCCCACCTCTCCCCCTCTCCCCAGGGCTCCCTATTCTTTAAGACACAAAAATGTTGGAATTAGGGCAACCTTGGTCCCTAATTTCAATAATGGCCCCTAAATGTTCAAGTGAAAGGAAGAGTTGCATGTCTTTCATGCTAGCTTTTATTAATTTAATTATTTGAGATGGAGTCTTGCTCTGTCACCCAGGCTGGAGTACAGTGGCGTGATCTTGGCTCACTGCAACTCCCACCCACTGAGTTCAAGCGATTCTCCTGCCTCGGCCTCCTGAGTAGCTGGGATTACAGGCCATGTGCCAACACACCTGGCTAATTTTTGTACTTTTAGTACAGATGGTTTCACCATGTTGGTCAGGCTGGCCAACAAGCTGGCCAGAGCGAGACTCCTGGCCTCAAGTGATCCGCCTGCCTTGGCCTCCCAAAGTGTTGGGATTACAGGCTTGAGCCACCTGTAAAGAGTCTGTGTTCTTAATGTTTTAGTTCGTTGAGCTGGAGATCCCAGGGAGGTCCCAGCATTGTATGGAAAAGGGACCCCCTAACTTGGGCTGCCTGGGTTTTGTCCTCAGGAGGATTCTGTGATGCTCAGTTCTCTAGTTTTGGTAACTGCCCTTTAGGCAGAAGCTTACTTTAGAGCTTTGCTTACTTCCTTGGGTGCCTGATTCTATTGTGTTTACTCGATGACCAGCTGATTTAGAAATGTTTGCTATAGTTGGAACACCAAGAGTGTCAGAGTACCTTCTCTGTCAGAGCTCAGGAAATGGATCTGTTTTTTAAAATCTTGTTTCCAGGATCATAAAGTTATGTTCATTATAGAAAACATGCAGAAGAAAGCCAAAGTAGGAAACACTGAAAATAAATTAAAAATGGGCCCCGATCTCATACCTCAGAGATAAAAAGTTAGCATGTTAATCTATTACCCTTTAACTTTTCCTATGCATACAGTTAAGATGACTAGAAAAAGACAGGCTTAGATTCTATTTCTATTAAATTAGTTTTCTATACAAGCACTTCTAAATAGCTCTGATTTAACTTTATTTGTGCTTTCATTGTGGGTGGGCATAAGAAAAGATCCCTTGAAAAATCCTCTATCTGCTATGAAGCTGGAGCAGACATTGTCATGTTACTCAGCATACCATTTCCAGGAGTCCTTTTAGTGACTTTCTCCAGAATTCAGGCCACTGTGTCATCTCACTGCATTTGCATATTTCCCCTTATGAGCCTATGAGAACTCTAACTCCCTCCCTCACCCCTTCCGCCCTCTTCTTTTCTATCTTATTCCATCTTGGTTTTCATAAAAGATCAAAGCATATGCCAATTGCAATACTTACCTTTGGTTTTATTTACTTTTTATATTTTTTTGAGACAAGGTCTCACTCTGTGGCCCAGATTGGAGTGCAGTGGCGCGATCCCGGCTCACTGCAACTTCCACCTTCCAGGTTCAAGCAATCCTCCTGCCTTATCCTCCTCCCAAGTAGCTGGGATTACAAGCATGTGCCACCACTCCCAAATAATTTTTTTTGTTTTTGAGATGGAGTCTGGCTCTGTCACCCAGGCTGGAGTGCAGTGGTGTGATCCTGGCTCACTGCAACCTCCGACTCCCGGGTTCGAGTGATTGTTCTGCCTCAGCCTCCCGAGTAGCTGAGACTACAGGTGCCCGCCAACATATCAGCTAAGTTTTATTTTAGTTTCACCATGTTGTGATCCACCTGCCTCAGCTTCCTAAAGTGCTGGAATTATAGGCGTGAGCCACTGCGCCCAGCCTTAATTTTTGTAGTTTTAGTAGAGATGGGGTTTCACCATGTTGGCCAGGCTGGTCTTGAACTCCTGGCCTCAAGTGATCTGCCTGCCTCAGCCTCCCAAAGTGCTGGGATTACAGGTGTGAGTCACCATGTCTGACCCAATTTTGGTTTTAAATACAATTGTTTTCCCATCAATACAATGACTTTTACGCCCTTTTGAAAGTTTATTTACTATTCTTAATTTTTAAAAATATGTTACTATTATACACCAAACCATAAACATCATTGGAAATAGTATGGTCTAGATTATAACCAAGTTGCCCTTATAACTAAATGAAGGCAAGCCAAATAAAACGAGGCTGGGAGCATAGCCTCCTTTTTATAGTCCTAATTTAAAATATCCTAAGTTTAGTAAATATATTAGGACTGAGCAGCTAGCTTGAATAAATTATGGCTTTTAGAACAAGATTAACAGAAAAATGGTCAACATACAGTTATGCAACAAATCTCAATAAATGATACTGGATCTCAGGTGTACACAAGGAAAGCAACACCTACAAAGGCAGGACATTGGATACCCCGCTGAGCTGAAAAAGAGAAACTCAAAAATGATTTTCATGGCTGGGTGTGGTGGCTCACGCCTGTAAATTTCAGCACTTTGAGAGGCTGAGGTGGGCGGATCACCTGGTCAGGTGTCCAAGACCAGTCTGGCCAACATGGCAAAACCGTTTTTAGTCTTTACTAAAAATACAAAACTTAGCTCGGTGTGGTGGTGCACACCTGTAATCCCTCTCAGAGGAGGCTGAGACATGAGAATCGCTTGAAACTTCGTGAGGGGTGGAGGTTGCAGTGAGCCAAGATTGTTATCACCGCACTCCAGTCTGGGTGACAGAGGGAGACTGTCTCAAAAAAAAAAAAAAATGATTTTCATAAAACTAAGCTTGGTAATTACTAAATATATATATTTGGTGCTAGGGTGGTGGTGTGATCTTGGCTCACTGCACCCTCTGCTGTCCAGGTTCCAGTGATTCTCCTGCCTCAGCCTTCCGAGTAGCTGTGAACCACCACGCCTGGCTAATTTTTTGTATTTTTAGTAGAGGCGGGGTTTCACCATGTTGACCAGGATGGTCTCGATCTCTTGACCTCGTGATCCACCCACCTCGGCCTCCCAAAGTGCTGGGATTACAAGCGTGAGCCACCGCGCCTGGCCTATATATATATATTTTTAATAAAAAGTCTTTTGATCATATTGTTCCCTTTCAAAGCTGCTGCCATGTTTTGTTTTTGTTTTTTTTGAGACAGGGTCTCACTCCAATTGCACAAGCTGGAGTGCATTGGCATGATCACGTCTCATTGAAGCCTTGACCTGGGCTCAAGTGATTCACCTCAGCCTCCCAAGTAGCTGGGACTATAGGCACACACCACCACACCTGGCTAATTCTTGTAATTTGTAGAGATGCTGTTGCACCATATTGCCCAAGCTGGTCTTGAACTCCTGGATTCAAATGATCTCCCTGCCTTGGGCTCCCAGAATACTGGGATTACAGGCATGAACCACTGCACCTGGCCTGCTTCCATGTTTTTCAGTTACAACTCAACTCTATTGCTGATACATTTTGTTGTGTATGAGATGCATATGTCTTGGGTTGGCTACCTTATAATTATTAGCTATGGAGTCCCACAGAATACTAAAACCATATAATAAACCAGTCTTCCAGAAGATAATGGATATTTCAGTTGTAAAGATGTAAATTTGTATTTAAAGTGTTATTGCCTAAAATGGATTTTTTACTAGATTAGCAATAAAACAAAAATTTAATTATCGAAAGTCAATGTAAGTGCCTAAAGACACACAGACATACACTCCCTCTCTCACACATTTCAAAAATAAGATGCAAGGCACATAAACAGCATTATATCAAATCAGAATGCATTAGGATATTGATTATATTTAGATAATTCTTTTCTCTTTTCCTTCTGTAGGTGATGATGGCTTAATAGAATTTACCACAGTTACTTTAGAGTCTCCGAATGCATTGCTGGCGGAGGCCTGACTGGGAGGCAGGTGATGCAACTCCTTACTTTGCAAAGGCTCCTCTGAGCCTTTTGTAACACCAGAACCTGACTTATCAGTTTTCAAGATGTAGCCTGATCCAAAGAGTTCTTCCATGAGACTGCTTTTCTTGTCTCTGAAAGTTATATCTTTCACTTTTATTCTGGAAGACTTACCAAATGAGGGCTCATACCCACTGTCAGAATGCTCTAGCTCCCTTTCCTCTCTGTTACTGAGATGCTTGCTTGTACTATGACTGCACCTCGTGTTGCTGGCATTGGCTGGCCCACCTGAAGCAGGAAGCCCATGATGCAGGTTTTCAGTTGCTTCTGTGAATGAGTAATGCCTTCTTTGTCTGAGGGGGCCTTTCGTGTAGGGAGCAGTGCATCTGCCAGGTGTGTCATCCGTGTCATTTCTCTGCATGCTTCTTTTAAACTTTTCTCTTACTAGATCATCTTGATTGGTTTCTCTTTCAGGATGAATGATGTCAATTATTTTTGGTGGTAGTTCTTGCTCTTCTTTCACTGAAACGGTGTTCTTTTCTTGGTCTTCTTTTTTGTCTTTTTGTCTTCCAAAATTCTCCAGTAGTACTTGTACTTCCAAATGTTTATCTTCCTTTAATAAATCTATATTAGAAAAGTAGGCAATTTAGTGCTGTTTAAAATTAATGGATCTCTATTTCAAGATGGCATACTTAGTACACTTATTTGCACCTCCTCACAAGCACATTGAAATGACAGAAAAGGTAAGAAAATAGATGCATGGACAATAGGTTACAGAGAAGGATGCTATTAACAAATGTGCTATAGTTTCTTAGAACTTTGCAAGCAAATGGGAATTAGGAAACCAAAATAAAAATGACATCCATAGAAGAAGAAATAAAATTTGCCAACAAGGTTATTAATAGATGTTCAATATCCCTAACTGGATGTAGTGCCAGTTAAACCAGTGAAGGCTGGGTGCAGTGGCTCATACCTGTAATTCCAGGCTTGGAATACTTTGAGAGGCTGAGGCAGAAGGACTGCTCGAGTCCAAGAGTTTGAGACCAGCTTGGGCAACATAGCAAAATCCTGACTTTACAAAAAAATAAAAAAAATTAGCCGGGCATGGTGTTGCCTGCCTGTAGTCCTGGCTACACAGAAGGCTAGGGTGGGAGGATCACTTGAGCCTAGGAGGACAACACTGCAGTGAGCTGTGATTGTGCCACTGCGCTCCAGCTTGGGCAACAAAGCAGAGCTGTTTCAAAATAAAACACAACACAATGAGGACATTTTTCATCCATCCATTTGGCAAATAATTTCTAGAGCTAGTGAAAAGATGGGGAAACTGGAATGTTTGATCCCCACTGGTGGGTGTGTGACTGGCACAGCATTTTTGGATGGGGATGTGGCAGTATCAGTCAACATTTTAAGTGAATATACTCTTAGACCCAACAACTTCATTTCTCAGAATGAACCTACAAAAATAGACAGAGATAAGTGTAATGATGTTTACTGCAGCATAATTTAGTAACAATAAAACCTAAACGTCTGCCAAAGGAATAATGATTAAATAAAGTATGGCATGTGCAGTCTGTGAAATTCTAGACCATTATAGACAATGATCTGGATACATGTGAACTGATGGGGAAAGATGTTCCCACACTAGAATATAAGCACACGAGGGCAGGGTATTTTGCATCTGCTTGCTGCTGTATCCCTAATGCCTTGAACAGTGTCTGACACATAGTGTATGCTCAAGAAATGTTTGTCAAATGAATGGATAGACTTTCTAGGACAATATGAATTAGGACAGTGGACTGAAACATGAGCGGAAAACTTAACACACCAGTGACCACAGTGTAATTGCAACTGACGATCAGTTTCCACCCAACTGCAACAGAGAAAGTGGCTTTACTGGTGAGTTCTGTCAAATTATTGTGTTATTTAAACACAGTAGTTTGCCCTCACAACTAAGGTGTGGCCCTTCTTGGGCCTCTGCTGAATGCCCAATGTGTTCAACGAGGGCTCTCCATGCTGCCTAAGGGAACATGTCTGATTTGCAGCCCTTAGTGAACCCTGGGACTCATTCATCATGCATGTTCTTTCCTCAGAAGTTGCTCTTGCCCACTCTTGTGGGGCTGCACCCAGATCTCCTGTGACCAGTTATGTAACATGAAAGCAATGAGCCACATCTTTGAAATCCAAAGGAAAATTACCCACAACTTAAGAGTTTCCTATCTAGGCAACTATTAATGAAGTATAAGGGTTGATTAATGACACTTCCAGATGAGAGGTATACAAATTTACCTTACATGCACCCATTTACAAGAAGCTAGTGAAGGTTGTGCTCTTTAAGACATGATGGAATTTACCAAGAAAGAGGAGGACCTGGCTTAGGAAAGAGAAGATCTAGTAGAGAATAGGAGTGACAGGAATCTACAGGAAATGATGAATGGCAATCCCAGGATGGTGGCCCCACTGGACCTCCAGGTGCAAACACCAGGTGAGCCAGGGCCTTGGCCTGCCTTGCCCATGGCTGACGAAGTGTTGTACTCTCTATCGTACCCTGCAGCCTGGGCCAGCTCAGGACTCTCCTTGTACCCCACGGAAGCAGTTTGTTTCCACCTACTCCCAAGAGCTGGAGTTAAGCTTTGGTGATCTTAGAACAGGAAATTCTGAGCAGCTCATTCCCTTGGCCTTAGCTCTCTTGGGCCTGCCCCAAAGAGCCCTGCCAGATGCCATGGATCTGACAGCTTTTCTAAGTCCCAGGCCCTTGTACATTTAGGGGAGCTGAAGCTGGAGTCCTTTTCCTGGAAGTCTGTATTCAAAAGTGGCAATATTGCCCTTTGCTCAGCTGGATTTGAATAATTTGCTATTCAGTTTTTCAAAGCTGAATATATTATGTAAGGATACTGTTATGAAATGGATGTTTATATTCCTCCCTCCAAAATGTCTTATGTTGAAACAAAAAAACACCAGAGCACTGGTGCTCTCAACTGACCCTTCCTCATGCTAGCATTTCATGTGGAAAGGCCACATGAAGATAGAGTGAGAAGGAGGCCACCTAAAGCCAGGAACAGAGGCTTGGCCAGAAGCCAAATGGCTAGAACCTTGATCTTGGACTTCCTAGCCTCTAGAACCATGAGAAAATACATAAATGTTATTTAAGCCAGCAGTCTGTGGTATTTTCTTCTTACGGCAGCCCAAGTAGACAAATACAGACAAATATGAAGACAGGGACCCGTGAGGAACAGCAAGGGAATGACTGGCATAAAACCCAAGATGGTGGTTGTTTCTGGTGGGCAGGGCAAGGGGATATGACTGTGAAGGGCCCATGGGTGTTCCAAGGAGCACTCATGCACTGTTTCTTAAGCAGGGTACTGGGTACACAGGTGTTCCTTTTATTATAATTCTGGAAACTGTTTTATGAGTTTTTTTTTTTTTTTTTTTTTCTTTGAGATGGAGTCTCTATTGCCCAGGTTGGAGTACAGTGGGGCGATCTTGGCTCACTGCAACCTCCGCTTCCCAGCTCCAAGTGATTCTCCTGCCTCAGCCTTCTCAGTAGCTGGGATTACAGATGCCTGTCACTATGCCCAGTTAATTTTTCCATTTTTGGTAGAGACAGGGTTTTACCATGTTGGCCAGGCTGGTCTCAAACTCCTGACCTCAGGTGATCTGCTTGCCTTGGCCTCCCAAAGTGCTGGGATTACAGGTGTGAGCCACCATGCCCAGCTGTTTTATGTGTGCTTTATATACATATATACTAATTCACAATTTTAAAAAAATCAAGTAAGATAGACTTCAAAAAGTTGTTAAAATTACCTTCATATTTTCTCTTAGAATCCTCTTGCTTTGGTAGTTTATTGACACAGTGAGGAATTTCACGATTTATTTCAGTTGATTTTTCTTTGTGATCAATGTTTCCTGTTGCCTTTTTACCCTATAATTTGGAAAAGCAGCACAAACACATTTTGGGGGTGTCTAGATAACTTTAAGTTGTATTGTATTCTAAGGACTTACAAATACTTTTCACATAGAACCAGTGATTGTAGCCTAATTTATTTTTGTTAAGGCATGTTTAATTAGACATTATAAGATTCCAAATTTACTGTACCTTAGTTGTCAAAGGTGGAACATCTGATTTTTGGGTTGCCTGGTGTCTCATACTTGTGAATGGCAAACTTTTTCTGTCTGCTTGGACTGATTTTGTTGAAGAAACTACAGAACAGGTAGATTACGTGTAAGAAACATATTTTACATTTGGACGCAATATTGATTTTAAGCATAAAATAATATTTATGCAATGTAATAATAAAATATACTAAGTAGTTTCTAAATATTCAGTATAGACCTAGCATTGTTCGTTTCCTGTTTTTCCCTCCAGGACCCTTGCTTGCCTTACTTTGGGCTGCACAGTGTTGGAGTACAAAGTAGGTGTTAGGATAAGACGGTGTTGCTGTTTGAGGACAAGGCTGTCCTCTGCAGAAGGGATTCAACACTACAGACATGTAACTGTGAGAGGCCAGGCCACCGGGCTATCCTGTGGCAGAGCTCTTGACTTTCAGTGGTTAGACTGTCCATGCTGAGGTGCATGACTCAATCTAGACTGCACTCTCCCTGAAGAGTGAAGGAAATTATATCATTTCAACAACCCCTTGGTTGATTCATCATCTCTGGTGGCTGCTATTCTACATTATAAACCAGAAACAAACAAAGGCAGGCAAGGAAATTCGAGGTTGTTGCATTTGAAAGTAAACTGCACTCGCGTCATCTGCCATTGGTGTTTTCTCGGAGAAGCAGCAGAATTTCTATTCTTTTCTAGCGATCTCACCAGATCAGTTTCATTATTCTTCTAGAATCACAAAATGTATTTTAATGCCTACTGAAGTGATTTTTAAAAATATCCATTATTTTGGTTATATATATTAGGAAAATCTGACTAGTTACTTAAAAATAGATTTTGAGCAAAAGTAATTAAAACATACCTTTTGGATAGTCCTCGGTGTCATGTAAATTTTTAAGTATTCGATGACTATAGATGTTTTTAATTTCAAGTTCACGATCCTTTTCCTAAAGAGAACCACAATACCAATTTTTTGTTTGCTTTTGTCAACTTTTCTTTTAAAAGCAATTTAAATGAGCTCAGTATCCTTTGAATAATATCTATAGATTCTAGAAGAAACAGAAATAGGTCATATCATCATATACCATTCCTGACATGAAAAAGTACACAGCTTTTTAAACAAAGTGACACATTATTGTGACTGGGACAGCATTTTTGAAGAGGCTTGCAGGTAAGCTTGTCTACTGTTTTCCCTCTGTCCTGTGGGCCTGTGCTCTGAAGTTTATGAAATGTTCTTCTCCACTGTGCACTTACAGTAGCCACTAGCTATATGTTGTGATTTCATCTAAATGAAAATAAAATTAAAATTTAGGGCCGAAAATAAAATTTAAAAAGCGCGGTGGCTCATGCATGTAATCCCAGCACTTTGGGAGGCTGTGTGCGGGGGGCTGGATCACCTGAGGTCAGGAGTTCGAGACCAGCCTGGCCAACATAGTGAAACCTCATCTCAACTAAAAATACAAAAATTAGCCAGGCATAGTGGCAGGGTGCCTGTAATCCCAGCTACTTGGGAGGCTGAGGCAGGAGAATTGCTCGAACCCAGGGGCGGAGGTTGCAGTGAGCAGAGATTGGGCATAAGAGCAAAAGTCTGTCTTGAAAAAAAGAAAAAAATATTAGGTTGTCAGCCACACTATTTGTATTTCCAGTAAGCAGTCACCAGCTTCGTGTGACTAGTGACTGCAGTGCTGGACAGCACAGGTGAACATTTCTGCCATCTAATAGAAAGTTTTGGCCGGGCGCGGTGGCTCAAGCCTGTAATCCCAGCACTTTGGGAGGCCGAGGCGAGTGGATCACGAGGTCAAGTGATTGAGACCATCCTGGTCAACATGGTGAAACCCCGTCTCTACTAAAAATACAAAACATTATTTGGGCATGGTGGTACGTGCCTGTAATCCCAGCTACTCAGGAGGTTGAGGCGGGAGAATTGCCTGAACCCAGGAGGCGGAGGTTGCGGTGAGCCGAGATCGCGCCATTGCACTCCAGCCTGGGTAACAAGAGCGAAACTCCGTCTCCAAAAAAAAAAAAAAAAAAAAAAAGGAAGTTTTATGAGACAGGGCTACATCTAGACAAGTGCAGCGGGGGGAAGGCCTAGAACAAGGGTATCATTGTTCAGTTTTAAATTTCAGTATTGACTTTTTTGAGTCTTGGCAAAATGGACATTTTGAAACAACTTGTTAAGGAACAAAAAATGGTTTTTATTAAATACCAAATGCTCCTCCTTGTATGTATAACAGGAGGAAAGAAAGGCTTTGGACTTGAGACCACTGAATTTTAGTAACAACGATAGTTAAGAGAGGTGGGCATATATGAAGTAAGGAGGAAGGAACCCAGGGATGTCAGAGTGTGACAGACGTGCATGTGTACACACACACACACACACACAGAGACACAGAGAGAGAGAGTTCTGGTCTCCTTGTGCCCCTTAGGGTCAAATCTATGGGCCAAGGGATATTCAGAGGGTGAGAAACATCTCTGAGGTTTGGGAAAGTCTCAGTGCAAAAGGCTTTGGTGTGGTTCAAGAAAACCGCAAGCCCCTTAAAAGGCGCCCCCTCCAACCCAACCGCCTCCACTCATCCCGGAGCTAAAGTAACATGGTATTGCCCAAGTGGTACGTTAGAAAGGGCTAAATGCCCTGTGTAGGCCGGAGATGGATTGTGCTTCCCTTACGCTTGCAACCAGTGGGACCTGTGGTGGGAGCTGCACCTGCTCTGGAGTCCTGACGGGTCCACGTGCTCCCACAGCACGGGCTTTGTGACAGAGAATCTAGCCAGGGATCAGATGAAGGATGCTCTCAGAGTATTTGCATCAACAGGAAGAAAAGATCACCAGGAGTTGTTTGACCAGACTGAGAAGAGGCCGTGAGTTTCAGCAGCCACATTCAGTGCACATCAGACAGGGTCCAGGGAATTTAAGACCAGTCACTTGTCAAGAGAACCAGTCTAGACAGGGGCCAGAGGGCAGAACACAGACCAGAGGCCTCTTTTTCCCTCCGCAAAGAATACACACACGTTTTCTCTCATGCCCAGGATGCCATCTCCACTGAGACAGAAAATAGGGATGAGGAAAAGGTCTGCAAGTATAAGAGACAACTTAGCATAATAATGTTTTCAGTTAGCAGAGACTGAGACGAGCTTTTGTCCATTTCTCCTTGTCCACTGCCGTCCTCATCCCTAATTTGTGTGAATGGGACTAATAAGGAAGTATGGCTCAGTTACAGAAGATAAAGAACATTACATATTTTTGTACCTGAATTGTACAGTGTAGTTCTACTCATTTGAACCATAAAATTAGATTTTTATCAGAGGTACACAAATTGATAAAACATGAGAATATTAATCTTCTCTAGAATTTAAGTTTCTAGAGGCAAAAATGTTAACAGTTCATCTCTCTTTTCTTTTATTGTGGTAACACTTAGCCAAAAGAACAATAAATGCTGACAGTTCACCACCATGAAGAGTTGATCAAGTATATTCTGGATAATAAGTTTAAGATGAAGGATACTGTGTAAAACATTTTAGAATGATTTTTCATCCACACTGGTTAAGAAACATTTTCATATTTACAGGGACAGATTTTGATTGCCTGAAAAATTCAATTCTTTTGATTTGGTTTGGACACTTGGGGGTCGGCAACAGAGAGCAGGAAGGAGGCAGAGCCAGAACAGAACAAGAGGCCGCCACGGGGCGGCGGGGGTCAAAAGGAAGCAGTGTGGAGGACTGTCCTTCTCGAGGCTTGGAGCAGAGCTTCAGGTTGGGCCCCACGACAGAGCTGGGCCAGAAGTCTGACACAGCAGGTCTGGAACACAACCTGGGATACCTGTGCGGTTGAGTTCAATCAATCAAGAGAAACGAGAAGATCATCCGTGGCTGGGAATGTTTATGGAACGCTCGTGGAATACTCAGACTACCCGCAAGTGCACAGAGTATCAAGTCAGAGTTAAACGGGAGGTTGGCTCACGGTGTGGAATCATATTAACGTCAGCATTGATGGCTTCCAAAAACAAGATAGAAAGCAATGTCTTATGCAGGAGCGCGACTGCAGCCTGGTATAAGATGGGATGCAGTACCTCATGTGGGAGCTGTGGAAGGCCGACATTCCTCTTCCTACTTCGGCTCATACTCCAGAAGTGGGTCTAGACCTCGGGATGACTTGAAAATGAGTTTCAAAGTACAGAAACAGAACTTTTGACTTTTGGGACCAGGCTCTCCCAAGCTCAAATGATGACTTAATGTGGCTGGCTGATTTTTCTAAAATTGCCACAAGATTTCTGTCCCATATGCTCTTCAAGAACTTTGTGACACCCCCCCCCCCAAGAGGTGGCGTTCACTGCTTGAACAGCCTAGGACCGCCCTGACAAATGCAGTGAGACAGAAGTGATGCTGTGTGACTGTCAAGGCTAGGTCACAAAAGGCAATATTGCATCTGCCCGGTTCTCTCCTCTCTCTCTCTCTCTGGTTCTCTCCTCTCTCTGTGGCTTTCTCTTCTCTTTTTCATTTTTCCCTTCAAATCCAGCCACCAAGTTATGGGGTTGTGTGTAAGGTCCCAGCCAACAACCTAGCTAAGATCTCAGCTGTCAGCTGTTACCAACTGCAGACATATGAGTGAGACTTCAGATCATTCTAGCCTCCAGCCTTTGAACCACTCTAGCTGATACCAAGACGGGAAGAGATGAGCTATCCCTATTCAAGCCCTGCCCAAATCGTAGATTCGTGAATAAAATTAATGTTGCCGGCTGGGCATGGTGGCTCATGCCTGTAATTCCAGTGCTTTGGAAGGCCCAGGTGGGCAGATCACTTGAGCCCAGGGATTTGAGACCAGACTGGCCAACACGGTGAAACCCTGTTTCTACTAAAAATACAAAAATTAGCTGGGTGTTGTGCTGCACACCTTAATCCCAGCTATTGGGGAGGCTGAGGCACGAGAATCACTTGAACCCGGGAAGGCGGAGGTTGCAGTGAGCTGTGATCATGCCACTGCACTCCAGTCTGGGAAACAGAGGGAGACTCTGTCTCAAAAAAAAAAAAAAAGACTAAAGGCAAAAAATAGAAACAAAAGAAATATTAATATTGCCATGCTTAAGTCAGTTGAATGGTTGAGTGATTGGTGCTGCAGCACAGTAACTGAGCGGTCAGGATTCGAAAACATCCTGGAAGCTTCTATTCCTTCTCCCTTAGGATGACTGCTAGGAGTGACCTTTGGAGGTGAGGCATAAGGGGCCATCTCCTTTTTCCAGGTGAAACAGGCCTGGTGGGAGGTGGTAGTGGGAGGGTATCCTGAGTGCAGGGAGGAACTACAGGATAGGCCATGGGTGAATGACTGAGTTACAGGAAGCCAAACTAAGGATCCGTGGCTCCGCTTCTGCTTTCTTTCATGCTGCTTGATTTCTTTACAGCTCTGGCTTCCTGAGCCTCTATAGGAAGGAAGAGCTGGCAGAGCCGTTCCATGTGCCTGCCGTTTTGTGTGGAAATGCGTGTCTTTGGTAGGTTTCCTCGATAATGGGAAGGCAGGCTGGCTCTGTGTCAGTGGCACTTGCTGACTGGAAGGCTTCACTCTGAGGTGGCCTTTTGATTGAATACTTCCCAAATTCCAGAATTTACTCTTTAAAAGGTTTTGCCCTGGGATACCAGCCCCAGTAGCCCCATTTCTTCTCAAGCAACATATTCACTTTCCAGAGGAGGAAACAAGACTTTCTCCCCTGGTGGCAAACTCGGGGCTCCCTGATGCTGTGCATGCTGCTGAGGAGGAGGGTGGGCAGCTGAGACTGCTGTTAGTCCGTCCTCTCACTCCTGGCTCCCATGCCTGCCTGTGACCAGACAAACGCCTCTCCAACCATCTCCTGCTGTGTCCGGCTCCAAGTCATTCTCTTAAATGCTTCCACCCATTTTCTGCAGTAAGTAAATTTACCCACATCGCCACTGTTTGCTGAAGACTAGTTTTCTTGCTATTG